GATCCTCCTGCATTAGCCTTCCGTGTAGGTGGGACTATAGGGGTAAACCACCATGCCTGGCTGATTTTTACATTTTTTTGTAGAGACAGCATCTCACTATTGTCTGGGCTGGTCTCAAGCTCCTGGGCTCAAGTGATCCTCCCGCCTCAGCCTCCCAAAGTGCTAGGATTATGGGTGTGAGCCACTGTGCCTGTCCCCAGCTGGCTTTTTTTATTATAGTATGCTGCCTGTGTGACTTTTATTGAGGTGATCTGGGTTTTATAAGATAGTAGATATATTCATCGTGTAGAAATCAGTAGCTGCTAATACCATAGAGCATTCCAGAAATGTGATTATTGTACTTCTATCTTTGTTCCTCTCCCAACTGCTTTGGTAGTGTTAGGTTTTAGTATAACAGTGAAAGAGTTTTCTGGCTAAATAACTTGAAAAACCTAGGGATATTCTAGAAATACCTCTTTGTCTTAATTTTGCAATGACAAGGACAAGTTAATTTTTTTTATCTCCCTTTTGCAGAATATCTGAACAAAGCATCATTCCCTCAGTAACTAGGTCCGTGTCTGTGCCAGATACTGGCTCTATCTGGGAGCTTCAGCCAACAGCCTCACAGCCTACAGGTAAAAATTTAGATTGACCTTTAGTAACACTCCAAGGATTTAGAGTCTGATAATAATTTTACAGCTCAGGTTTTAAAAAATATATTAGGTTTTTTGGTCCATTTTGTATTAGATATTATAAAAAGTTCCATTTTAAAAAACAGATCCCAGCAAAAGATTGAAGGTATTGTTGAAAATACAATATTAAGGATTTTTTAGAAATTATTTAGTACATACATTTCTTCAATTTGAGTCAGCATCTTTTTTATGTTGCTATTATATAACCAGTGTAGAAGGTATTTTTGAAAATACAATATTAAGGATTTTTTAGAAATTATTTAGTACATACATTTCTTCAATTTGAGTCAGCATCTTTTTTGTGTTGCTATTATATAACCAGTGTAGAAAGATCTTTTAAATTGTTTTCGATCTTTTCAGCCAGAGGGGGAAAAGAGCATAAGTAAAAACATAAGTAATGGTGATCTATCCTTTTGGATTAAGGATTGCTATACACATTAACACTGTTGGTACCCAGACAGTTTGGGATGAGAAAAGTCTGCTATAAAGTAATCACTTTCTCTCATTCTGATCTTTTTGTATCAAATTAGAAATTTTGAAATTGGGATTTTTTTTTAAAGTCTTGATATTGGTGGAGCACTGATTTCTTAAGATCTGATGCTTGCAGAGGTGGATAGTTTGAACCACGGATAGTCCTTACAAGACAGTATAGTTGGTGTTGAAACTCTCATGAACCGTAGGTATTGGTGGCGTTCTCTTGGAGCTATTGAGCCATTTAGGCCATGGTTCTCTTGTTAACATTGACTCAGGGGCTTACGGCAGGAGAAGGATTGATTGTCCTTCCTCATCACCTTTCCATGCTGTGCACCTTATTTTTCTTGGTAGCCATTTATAGTTAGGATGTTAAATATACAGGTTGAGCATCCCTGATTCGAAAGACTGAAATCTGAAATGCTCCAAAATCCAAAACTTTTTGAGCATTGACATGATTTCACAGTGGAAAATTCCACACATACTTAACACAAACCTTGTTTTCATGCACAAAATTATTAAAAATATTGTGTAAAATTACCTTCAGGCTATGTGCATAAGGTGTAGTTGAAGCATAAGTGAATTTTGTGTTTAAACTTGGGTCCCATCCCCAAGATACATCATTATGTATGTATAAGCAAATATTCCAAAATTGGAAAAAATCTAAAATCTGAAACACTTTCGTCCTAAGCATTTTAGATAATGGATACTCAACCTGTGTTCTCCAATTTTGGGGAAACTTTAAGTACTATGTTAAATAATTTCTCTCTGGGTTCGTATGCAATCAAGGTCCTTTACAAATAGCCCATTGGTTTTATACAGACAATGTCTGATAGATGGGAATGTAGAAAATAGAGAATGCTGAAAAGCAGTGGCAGCAAACCACACTGGCAACAGGAAAATGGACTCAGAAACCATTATCTGTTTGTTTACTTCCACATATGATCTTGTGCTGCCTTTCAGGTCAACAGGATCAAGTGTTGCTTGTGACTTGTGAGACCTGCCTGGCCTTTCCAGAGGCCTCCACAGCTCCAGCCATAGCACGTGCATGCGCACTCTCTCTCTCCATTTATTTTTATTGTTTTTAGAACCAAGAGAAAAAAGCAAGATCGCTCTCTCTTTATTGAGATGAAATTCACGTAATACAAAATTAACCATTTTAAAGTGAGCAATTCAGTGGCATTTAATACATTCACAATATCGTGCAACCACCTAGTTCTCTATAGTTGGCATGCTGGAAATCTATGGGCTTTGGGATCTAATACACTGGAATTTAAATCCTGGTGTGGCCACATGCTTGCCATGTACCCATGAGAATGTTAAAAACTACTTCTGACCCTTAGTTCGTTCATCCTTTAAAGATGGGCATGTGAACAGATGCCTTATAGGGCTTTGTGAATATGAAGTTAGCTCCCAAATAAATGCCTCATTCTTGAATTTTTTCTATATGTATTGAAGGATATTCATAGAAACTAGAGCCCATTGGCAATTCAGTCTATATAGAAGCAAAACAGATATGTATAATGGCTCTCATACAGGCACAGAGAAGCATATTTTCCATTATGCCAATGGATATGTCACCATGTGTGTAAACTCTGACCTCCCCCATTTTTTCCCTCGTTGTCTTGCAGTTTGGGAAGGTGGTAGTGTGTGGGATCTTCCTTTGGACGCCACGACACCAGGCCCTGCCCTAGAACAGCTTCAGCAGCTGGAGAAGGCCAAAGCTGCCAAGGTCTGGAACTCATTCTTCCTTGGCAGTGCACGCTTCTGGCTATAAGCATTTCTGTTCATTCATCTCTCTGTCTAGTAGCTGTGCTTTTTCCTTTTAGTTTATTGGTACTTGGTTGACATAAGTATTTTCATATTCTATCCTTACTGTGCCTTCTCCCCAAAAAGACCTCAAAACAGAATTAAAATTAATCAGTGATTAATTGGTTATTTGGCACATTAATGATCAGGCCCATATGTATATTTTGGTTATGTTATTCATGGTATGAATATTTGTTATAAATACCAAGACTGTGAGAAAATATCCACTATGTTGTTCGTTAGACTGCTGATCTGTGGTTTGAGTTCCCACGTTGAATCTTTATAGTGGTATTTATATTTCTAAGTATCCCCAGACATATAGCTGAAAAGCTCAACGTTAACATTAGGTCCTGTTTTCCCTTCACATTTTTTAGAGGAGCTAAGAACCTTGAATTTTGGCTTTAGTACTTGCCGGAAGAGGATGTCTACGTTAATACCTAGTGTCATTGTAATGATTTCTAGGTTCTCAATGCCTCCCAAGAGAGTCTTGTTACTATTTTATGCTTAATGATTCTTATTCTCTGAGGTAGTGACAATCTCCTCAGAGTGCTTAGGGTGTGAAAAGGTTCATGGTTAAGGTCTGTCTCCATAACTGAGAGACCATAGTTCATATAATTCTTGAGTATCTTCTAGTTCCCCAGTGCTTTGTGCTGGGAACACACAGATAAGGTAAGTAGAATCCTTCAAGGGGTTTACAGTCTTGTGCGGGGGAGGGCAGGGAGACATAGCCAAATAACATTTAGAATTACAGGATGGTCGAGAGTATACGGGCCACCTACCCAGCTGGCGAGGTGAGGATCAGGAATTGGATGACACTTTTGATGGGTAGTAATACCTGAGTTCATTTTTGCTTGAAGGATAATGCAATTTAGCCCACTTGAAGGGTTTTGTGCTGATGAAATATAAGGAGGTGAAAATTAAGTTGCACTTGAAGGAAATAGCACCAGTAAAGGCTCAGAAGTGCATGAGAACATGCTGGATTCAGGAATCAGCTAAGTAATTTGGTCTAGCTTGGAGCTGTGGTGCATCTGAGGAATAAAAGACAAGAGAAGAGACTAAAGAAGACAAGGCAGGCCAGTCATGAGGATCCTTGCACATACTGTGTTAAAGAGTTAGAATTTATTTTCAGAGTAAAGAGTGCTGTTGAATGTAAGCCTGAGAGTGATTTTTTTTTGATGGGATTAGATGATGAGCTGAGGAACATGGGCAAAACTGGATCGTGGGAAACTGGATAAGAGACTCAAGAATATTGGTGAGAAAAGTGAAGGCCTGACCTGTAGCTGTGGCAATGGGACTAGAGACTAACTGCTGGATTTGACTAATGTTTGGGAACTATAAATGATGATAATTGTTATATGATTGGTCTCCAAATTTTAAAACGTTTGTATAATTTTTTACACTGACAACTTTACTTCATTGCTGTTGAAACGTTGTGGCCACACTGTTAGATGTTCAATCAGAAAGTTCTTTGTAGGGATGAGCAAAGAAATACTATCCCCAGAGAGTTCTGATGTTATCTCCTCCTATTGGCCCTTTCTATTCCACATCTAGGAGATGTGGTATGATGGTAGTGTGGTATGGGGAGGCAGGGAAAAGTGGGAGAAAAGTGTATTTAGCTGAGAAGAGCATAAAAGTCTTCTGATAACTGTGACATCTCAGAGTTTTGAGTTCTTACAGGGTTTCGTCACAGTTGCAGTATGAGTAACTGAGTGAATAGTAGTGCCTGCACATTTTAGCATCTCCTAACAATATTGGTCAGTGCTTTTGGAGTGTTCCTTTGCTTGGTTTGAAGTTTCTAAGAATATTCTCGTGTAATCACAGATAGAGCAGGAGAGAAGAGAAGCAGAAATGAGGGCAAAGAGGGAAGAGGAGGAGCGAAAGAGGCAAGAAGAGCTCCGAAGACAACAGGAGGAAATTCTTCGGAGACAGCAGGAGGAAGAAAGGAAAAGGCGGGAGGAAGAAGAGCTCGCCCGAAGGAAACAGGTATATCTCTTGGAACTCTGACCGTAAGATTAGTGCTTGATGAGGGCCTTCAGGTTATCCTGCTCCCTTCCATCATTCACAGGTACTCCCGAGGTCCACAGGGGGTTAATAGCAGGATTGGCCTTAGAACCTTACAAGACTCTCCTCGTTAGTATAGTGGTGAGTAAATAAATAAAAATTACGTGTGAGGGTGGGTTGGGAGGCAGAACCTTACGAACCTTACAAAGTCCTTTAGAAAGAATCTCTGTTTTTCACCAACACCCACTGGAGAGATATTCTTCAGTCTTAGTAAACCACTGGAATTGATTTCCTTTCCTTTTATAAACCACTTAGATTTCAGAAGTTTTACCCTTGCTGCTAAAAACAATGAGGAAGTAACTTTGGTGTGCAGCATTAAATGTCAAATTGTTAAAAGCCATAAGGGCTCTAAAAAAATTATGGTAACATATACATAACATAAAATTTGCCATTTTAAGTGTATATTCAGTAGCATTAAGTACATTGACATTGCTGTGCAACTCTCACCAACATCCATCTACAGAACTTCATCTTTGCAAACTGAAACTCCGTACCCATTGGACAATGAGTCCCGTTCCCTCCATCCCCTGTTAACCACTATTCTTCTTTCTGTATCTGTGATTTTGACTACTGTAAGTGGAATCATACAATATTTGTCCTTTTGTGACGGACTTATTTCACTTAAGGTTCATTCGTGTGGTAGAATGTGTCATAATCTCCTTCCTTTTAAAGGCTGAATAATATTCCATTGTAGTATGTACCACATTTTGTTTATCCATCATCTGTTGATGGGACATTTGGATGACTTCTACATTTTGGCCATTGTGAATAATGCAGCTATGAACATGGGGGTCCAGATACCTGTTTGAGTCTTCACTTTCAACTCTTTTGGGCATCTCCCCAGAAGTGGAATTGCTGGATCATATGGTAATTCTATTTTTAATTTTTTGAGGAACTGCCATACTGTTTTCCACAGCCTATGTGCCATTTTACATTCCCACTGGCAATGCACAAGGGTTCCAGCTTCTCCACATTCTCGCCAGCACTTTTTATTTTCTGGGTTTTTGTTGTTTATTTTGTTTGTTTATTTTTGATAATGGCCTTCCTAATGGATATGAAGTGGTATCTCATTGTGTTTTGATTTACATTTCCTTAATGATTAGTGATGTTAAGCATCTTTTCATATGCTTACTGACCAGTCAAATGTACTTTTTAAATGTATGCTTATCTTTGACCAAGATCTCTGCCTCCTCTTTATTCTTTCCCTTAATGAACCTCTCCTATTTTAGTGACTAGTGTTTCTAAATAGAGAGAAACAAAACCCTATACATATAACTATATATGCTTTTTAAAGAAGTGTATATCAGTTGAAC